CCCAGTCCACAGATGTATGATAACTCTGACATCCCCCAGTCCACAGGTTTTGTCCCTAGAAGACCCATCCAGGGCTGCCACATGCTGTTTGGTCAACTGTAAAGGGAAGGCAGGGGCAAAACATTTACATATTCACCATCCAAATAGCTTTTATGAATGCAGAGCCGATCTAGGCACTCTGATACTGAGCTCACCCGAAAAATCGTCACATCCTGCACCTAACTGTTTAACTTGGCAGGGGCAGGGGTCGATCAGCATGAAAAGTGGCACAGGATAAAATTGACACCTTGGACAGGAAAATACAGGAGAGCTGCTGAGAGACAAGAGTATCTTTTAGACAGGCCATGACGAGAGCAGCGATCTGTAAAGAACCTTCTGCATGATGATGATAAATAATAGTAACTGTTTTCTCAACAGATTACAAATCACGTGAGATCACAGACATTTACTGCTGAGGATCAGAGAACTGTTCTTGAGGCTGCGGGGCTAGAGTTTGTATCCAGACTCTTAAGCTCACGTAAGTATGTTGTTATCTTCTGTTAAAAAAAAACTTCATTCAACTTGCTGACTAGTTTTCCCAATCCACTTGGTGACTCCATGTAAATTTGGCCTGCCTGGATATTATTTATCCACCGTCTTCTTAGTCTGCCTTGTGATCTACCCCTGTTCACTTCTTATATACTGTTTTTTTTATATCTCTGTTATCTGCCATTGTCTCTATATTATAGTCTATTGGCCCTCATGATGTCAGTAATTTAACAGTTATTAATTTCATTATTGTTTCTCATTCTCCATTCTCTATGTGCCTAAAAATTTGTCAGAATACTTTTGACAAAAGCATTTGATAAATTGGCATGCTTGATAGAGGGGGCAGAGGGTCTCTACACCCCCAAGCCCCCACCCAATGGGGTCCCAACACCCACACTGCCAAATGAGCTGTGAAATGTACTACAAAGCTCATCCTGAAAACAGATGCCAGACAGAAGAAGTCACATGTGTCAGCTGAAAGGTACAGAATGTATTAGTGGCTTGTGTAAAAAACAAAAATGTGGTTACAGGTTAATTTTTGTTTGTTGGGAATTCCAAAGGGAGTATGCCACCTTTTAAAGCATTTCCTGGTCAAAAGAATTACGATGAGAGAGGAAGTCTGATATGCTTCGTTGTAGTTATTGTTCAATTCATTGCTTGTTTTCTCTTCATCTTCTGTTGTCATCCAGTAGTGGAGTGTTGTCTGTATTTGCCTTCAGCTTATTGAGTGGCTTTGCTGCTAGATTTGTTCATCTTTTGCATTTTTCAGCTACACCATTTGTCCATATCTTTATTGGTCTTCCTCCCAGATGTTCTGCTGTAAAAAAAAAAAAAAATCTTATATCCAGCTTGATTTGGCTGCATTATTACTAGATGGTGAACCATTTCATTCTTTGTCAGTATTATTCAGACATGATCTTGTTTTAGCTTTCTCTCTAATGCTGACATTCATAATCCTGTTCCTTTTTGCGTTGATCGTGACCTTAATGAGATAACACCTTTCACAGGTAACTATTTTCTGTTCTAGTACCTTACTCATTGTCCACATTTGGCACTGATAATATAAAGTAGAATAAAAGTGCTATTAATCAGTTGCTGTTTTGCTAGAAGGGAAACATTTGTATGTCTAAGCTGTGGGGCCAGCTGGTAGGTGGCAACTTTTGTCTTGTGTACTCTAGTTTGTTGTCTAAGCAGTGGGGCCAGCTGGTAGGTGGCAACTTTTGTCTTGTGTACTCTAGTTTGTTGTCTAAGCAGTGGGGCCAGCTGGTAGGTAGCAACTTTTGTCTTGTGTACTCTAGTTTGTATGTCTAAGCTGTGGGGCCAGCTGGTAGGTGGCAACTTTTGTCTTGTGTACTCTAGCTTGTTGTCTAAGCAGTGGGGCCAGCTGGTAGGTGGCAACTTTTGTCTTGTGTACTCTAGCTTGTTGTCTAAGCAGTGGGGCCAGCTGGTAGGTAGCAACTTTTGTCTTGTGTACTCTAGCTTGTTGTCTTAAGCTGTGGGGTCAGCTGGTAGGTGGCAACTTTTGTCTTGTGTACTCTGGCTTGGTGTCTAAAAGTTGAAATTCCCATCTACAGAATCATGGCCACCTAACTGCCCACCAGACTATTACAAATGTGTTGGCTTGAGTATCCTCTCTGCCTGGACTGTGGAGCCTGCCATTGTAAGTTTTCACTTTTTATTTTTACTTTTTTGTTTATTTTGATCTAGCAGTTTTTGTGTATTTTACTTTTTGACAAGATAAATAAGATAGATTAGCAATACAAAAGACTGGCCAGACATGACCAACACAACATGGGCTGTAAGAAAAAGTTTGTACAAATTGTTATTGATCTTGTTGTCTCTTCAGGCCCAGCACCCTGCCATTGCAGATGTCCTGCCTGTGATCAATGAATTGATTTCCCCAGAAAGTCTGTAAGTATATTTGATCTGTTTTGTAAAGTAGAAGATTTTTCCCCGGGTTATGTAGGTGTGTTTGAGAAGAGCCGGAAGATAGGTTGGCTGGACCAGCTCTGGCACAAGTCAGAGATAATCTCTCGCCTGTGGGAGGTGATAACAAGTAAAATGGAAGATACTGAAAACCTGTACCTGGCGGAAATGATGCAGTGAGGAGTGTCTGCAGACTATGGGCAGCAGGAGACTGGGTTGGTGTCAGGACAGGAAGTTAACCAGATGGCAATGGGTACTGTCAGTATGGAGACTTTTCGCTGGTTGTTGAGCAGGGAGAAGGAGCTAATATGAGCTCAACCTGAATGTTGTGATGTTGAATCTTTACCAATATGTAAGGTAGAAGGTTGCACCGGACAACTGATACAGTTAACATGTGAGAGGAAGAAGTTTGCTGTGTCTTAAGAAAACCTGATAATAGTTTAAATAGAATGTCCGACGATTGGAACACACACATATTTTTGCTTGTTCGTTTTTGTATTTGGGGTTATTTATATGTGTATGCAATCATTCATGTGTGTGTATATATATTCATGCATATTTGTAAATATATTTGTTTACACAAGTGTATATATATATATATATATATATTTGTATTCTGTTATGAGAAGAAATAGACCACTGAACTTGGTAAATGGCAAGATTAATGGAAGGGGAGGGGGGGGGAGGGGCAAGGAATAAGAGCAAGGGAGAGCAGATTAATTCTTTTGTGGTTTAGCCATATATATGGATGGGGACAGGACAAGATCCTTGACCTGATCCATGATCCTAGTAACCCCATGAGAAAACAAAACATGACCGCCTACCCTTATCAGCAAAACACATGATGCTATGTGTATTTGTCTATATTTTTCTACAAATTTCTATAGATGTATTTGTCTATACATTTTTTACATATATCTATGGATGTATTTACAGCTTCAAGACACAGCCACATTCAGACTCCTCAGCCATCTATGCGCAGATGTGCCGTGACTCCGAGGAAATCCTCCACAATCTCACCAAGCATGAGGCCTCGGTGGATCGGCTGCTGCAGTCAGGCACATTGGGATTGCTCTTGGAGTACTCACTGTCATCTTCCTGTAAGTTGAACATGAAGAGCCCTATTTTGATGCTTGGGTTGCTCTTGGAGTACTCACTGTCGTCTTTCTGTAAGTTGAACAAGTAGAGCTCTGTTTTGATGCTAGGGTTGCTCTTGGAGTACTCACTGTCGTCATCCTGTAAGTTGAACATGAAGAACCCCATTTTGACGCCACTGGCACAAGGGCATATCTTTTTATTACTTTTGAGGTTGACCAGCTGGAAACTCTGGGAGAAAGTTCTGGTTGTTTATCCGCTTTGAAATTTGGTCTTCTTCCAGAATTTGAATGTCTTTTTTTTTTTCAAAACAAGCACCCTTAATTGATAAACTTTGCTGAAATAACCCAGCCCTGGACATTCAGGCCATCTGTCTGATACAGATTCATATCTAGTTGACCTTTGGACCACTAGGTCTTTTAACCCTTTCCACTGGTAACGCTTAAAAAAAAAACTGGTCGTAGCCTTATGGAATGTCTCCACACACACCAGAATTGGTTTTTTTTTAACGAATTCTGCACACACAGGTCACAAAATGTTGGTTACAACACATTTTTTTTTCTTCAGTATAAATAAAAGTGTATAGAAGGGGTAATCAGTAAACATTAACAATCAGTAAATGGAATAATTTCCCGGGGCCTCATAAATATATGTATTGAGTGTCTTATGCATGACACAATGATGTCTGTCAGTGAGGCTTACAGAAAAATTTGATATCAACTTGGTTTTTAAAAAAAGTGCTAGCCCAAATGATATTTTTAGGTAATATATTCACAACTTGACCTAGTAAATGTTTCGGTAGCCATAAACTCAGCTAGGAGCATTAACTATACATCTTGTAAACATTCAGGTCACTGTGGATGTGACAAGTTGGAAAAGTGACATTCACGGGAAATTAGCTCCAGCCAGAAGTGTCAATTGTGCAGCTTCTCTGGGTGACAGGATTAAAGTATTGAATTTTTGGCAGGGAAAATATAATTAATCATCTCCTGGTCTGAGACTGAAATCCACTTCAAAGTTACTTCTGGGGTTCACACGTGGTAGTGCACTAGGACCAGGGTTCATGCTGGTAAAAACCTATCTGCCGGTCTTCACTGTCATCCTAGAAACAGTTTTCCATTGGAGTTCCTGGCTGCTATAGAAAGGATCACCATTGCCTAGGGGTCGCCATTCAGGCAAAGAATAGAACTATTGCTCCCCTAACAAGTATTTCATAGGAGATGAATAATAATGGGTGTTTCCTTCAAAATTAGAGTGCTCTGTCTGAGAGGCAAGAAGCCAAGTCTGCTTACAAATGTAAGTAAGGTCTGTAAAACGGATGTGCACATAACACTCACACTCTGGAGCAATATAAATTTCACAAAGATGTTTTTGATATTTAAGTTTAACATTGTTTAAAGCACACAATGTAAAGACATTTACAGCTATACATACATATACCCCCTCCATAGGTCAGAATGTCATTCAGGTTCTGAAAAGCCTGAGCGCTGTTGTTATGAGCAGAGGGGAAGGCTGTCTGAATGTTAACCCAGACAAACTGTTGGATGTAATCAAGTTGACTGTCAAGAAACTTGATCAGAGTTCTGTAAGTTTTTCTGATTTCTTTCCATCTGTTATTTAATCTGTTTGGTTTTACTTTTTCACCACATAAAAAATATTTAAACATAACTTTTTTCAAAATGTTGTTAAAAACAAATCTCTGAAACTCTAACCTAAGAAACCAGAAGAAAAGAGAAAGAAGCAGAAGAAATATGGAGTTTTGGTCTCTGTTTATAAAAATCCAGGGGGTTGAAATCTATGACCACCGAACAGATGGGCAAACCTGCTAGTTGTCGTGTCATCACAGTCCCATAAGTCAACTCAAAATATAGATTTGTATTATTTAGAGTCATTAGTTTGCACCACGGCCAGCTACAGATTTTTATAAGGCCCTACAACTGAATCACTGTGCATTTTGGAGGAGTCCCCCTCGAAAATAGGTTACTGGGAGCGTTTCCATGTTGCATTGTGTGACATATTAATATGCTTACAAAGTCCTGTGTTCTAAACGTATTCGTATTACAAATCTACAAATGGATATTGTGAAGTGGATATACAGAAATTTTAATTTAAATTCACGGAAGACAGTCGTGTTGTGATGTGTGTGTCGGTGTCACTGTTTCTAGTCAGTAGTTCGGATTTTTGGGAACTGTCTGTTTATCACTTTTCTACTTTAAATGTAGAAATCTTACTTTTAGGGACAATACAAACAGGTAATTTAGAAGCCATATCTGGAGAATATCGACAGTTGTCAGGTGCAAACTATCTTGTGTTTGAAGAAAACTATTGCTTTCATATTGACTGTGCATAAATGGTGCAACCACACAGTGGATAAATTGTGTAAAGATATTTCGAAGCTCTAGGTAAGTGGATGAAAATAATATTTAATTTACTAACTAACCTCTCACAGCAAGTCACTCTTTGCCTCTTTACTAATTGATGACTAACAGTATAATTATATGTTGTAGCAGTACACTAATAATATTAATCCTTAACCATTTGACTAATGCTTCGCGAACACTGGCTGTAAACTCTTGCGGAAACTTCTGGTTGCTCACCGACTTCGTTTGCATATTTGCAGTTGTACGGCCTGTGTTAATTTGTGTAAACTGGCTTTTGCTTCGCTTCGCGAACACTGGCTGTAACCTCTTGCGGAAACGTCTGGTTGCTCATCGACTTCTTTTGCATATTTGCAGTTGTACGGCCTGTGTTAATTTTTGTAAACTGGCTTTTGCTTTGCTTCGCGAACACTGACTGTAAACTCTTGCGGAAACTTCTGGTTGTTCATCCACTTCCTATGCATATTTGTTACAAAAAAATTTGCAATGGTAAGGAATTGATTTCATCCAACAAGATGAAACTGGACAAATTTGTTTGTGCTGTTTGTACTTTGAGGATACATATTTAGTAGTGTTATAAGTACTGTTAAGAAAACTACTCTGGGTGAAAAAAGTATTGCACATATCAATTTCATACTGATTGTGCTTGTTTACTAATTATTAAATAACAGTATAATTATATGTTGTAGTAGTCTACTAATAATAATAATAACCATCAATTATTTATGTTATGTATGATATGTGTATGTTTCATAGCAGTATTTTTATGCGCTAAATTTGATAAAGTACACCCCCCCCCCCCCCCCCCCCCCCCCTCGTCTGATGCAACAATACCCTCTCAGAATCAAAGAGTTAGCACTGATATTTCTTTACTTTTGCTGGAACAACTTTTAGTTTACATCTAAACGTTATTGATGTTTATGTTCATGTTGACTGTAGCAAAAGCATTTTTGTTTGTCTGTAAGAGCCTTTATTGTTTATTTATTCCGCACACTTATTTACCTTAAAAATGACGTATAGTTCTAAAAAATATGTCGAAAATTAATGAAACTAGCTTAATTTGCGTATACATCTCCTCGATAAAAACTCTGGACGCAGAGGGACTCAATTCTTGCACAAGAACGGGAATTCCCGTTCGAGCCGAACGGCCTTATAAAAATCCCTTCCTATGACCAAGAAAACAAATGTTTGTTGGCTCAGTCACCTACCACTGACAGCAAAGTGACATCATCATACATTTATTATGACAAAACAGTAACTGAAAAATTGACCTTTTCCCAGCACCAAAAAAAAAAACAATTTTTTTGTTGGTCAGTATAATCATACTTACCATGACGACACTCTGTGCAGCTGCAGCCAGCACCGAAGCGGTCATACAGGCGTACTGGACACAGCCCAAAGACATCACGGCACCTAAAACCTCTTAAACCTGGAAGATCGGCTTTCTTGAACAAGAGGGTTAAATCATTTAGATTGACTGACCATGTGGTTAGAATGCATGGCTCTTATCCAGGAGACCTGGGTTAAAATTTTCTGTAGAGCGACGGGCATGTTTTCTGAGGAGGATCAAAATAAAAATCCTAGCCTGTACAGGTTTGTGACATGTAGAAGTGCTGAACTGTAGTGGCACACAAGGACCAAGTCTCATACTGGTCAAGCAGATCATCATAGAAAGAGGTTCCCAATTGGGAACCTGGCCAGTGTAGACTGGATCATCATTTTTCTTCAAGTCAGAGGCCATCTGTCTGAGAGGTGAGAAGCCAGCAAAGATGATGAAAGTGACCACCACTAAGGACCATAGAGCTATGCTGCTGGTTTTGGGAACAGAGTCTGCCATGACTGTTGTTGACCTCTCCAGGGCACAGGCCTGGGCATGTTAATGGAACTAATAGTGTGCACTCAGCCACATTTGTAAAATGAATGTGCACGCAAAACTCCAGTCCTGGAACATGACTGTAGTTTAGGGGCAGCTGAACATCCAGGATTTTATGAAAGTTTTCAGCTGGTAAATGTGAAGAAGAAGAAAAACAGTTTGTGTCGTCTGTACTGGCCATGGTGGCCATAAATAGACTAAAGACACCCTGCCAGCCCTAGACACCCTGCCAGCCCTAGACACCCTGCCAGCCCTAGACACCCTGCCAGCCCTAGACACCCTGCCAGCCCTAGACACCAGCAACGTGAGAGCAATAATGACAGTTACAATAATTATTGTACTCTGTTTTGCCTGATGCTGGGCATGTCATGTGGAAGAAAGCGACAAGGAATCACTGAACAGGCACTGAAGTGGGAAACACATGGATTGAAGAGATGAGGACATCTAAGAGAAACCCTGATATGTATGTTGATGAGAGAGGTCAAAGGAGGGGGACTAGATTCCATCCAAAATGTGAAAACGATTGCACAAAATAGAACAAAATATAGGACTATACTAGTGTAAACCCTATGTGCCGTAACCTTAGTTAGTGAATCCTCATCACACGTTGGACAAGTCCATCAGCACTCAGATCCCATCTTTGGTTCTCACTCAGTGTGTGGTGACTGATAACACCAGTTCTGTGTTGGTTTACTATTCTTCTTTGGCTGCTTGTATAGTGTTCATGTCTGGCAACAAATCTTATGTCATGAAATTCTTGTGCTTGGTCAAGGTTGCTGATTCAAACCAAAAACTGTTACCATTGTTCTGCTCTGTGCTTTACAGGAGTAGCACTTGTCCTTTCCTTTTGTTTTAATGCCACAACTACTTTACTGTCGCCCTGTGCTTTCCTGGGAGCAAGCCATTATAGTCACAGATATACTGTTCAAAAACAAAAAAAGTTATGCAAGGACGCTTTACTACGTAAAAATAAAAACTGCTTTACCCCTGAAAGAAACATAAATTTGACATTTAGAATCTTTGTAATTGATTGAGTGGAACTGTTCAAATTGCACAAAAGAATAAGGGTTCAGCCAATCGATTGACATTTCTTGGCATCTGAGTCATTTAAAGATTTAAGGTGTACAGGCTTTTCCATCAACTAATAACAAATGTGTTATCGGATGACTATGTTTTTTTTTTAAAAACAGGAAAGCACTAATGATAACTGTTTTTGAAAATAAAGCCCAATCAGATAAGTGCATTAAACAAAAATCAAATGGCACTGCACATTTTTGCATTTTAAGTAAATATTTTGTTCTTTTTGTTTTTCAGGATATCAGAGAAAAGGCGCAATGTGCGAGAATCCTCACGTCTTTTTTAACTGGATTGTCTACGGTTAGCATGCACTGTTCATTTGTCTGTTTCCTAACCTTAACTTAGAGTTGAATAAATGTGTTTAACAGTTTTATGATCCTCGAGTACTGGGGTTAAGTTTTATGGCGAATGGTTTTATTTAAATACAATAATCACTGTTTTGGTTTTTGGATGATGGTATGAAAGTTGCACCAAGAAGCAGATCAGAACCTCACCACGTAAGTTTGTAAGACAACAGTTTGTAAGACAACAGTTTGTAAGACAACAGTTTGTAAGACAACAGTTTGTAAGACAACAGTTTGTAAGACAACAGTTTGTAAGACAACAGTTTGTAAGACAACAGTTTGTAAGACAACAGTTTGTAAGACAACAGTTTGTAAGACAACAGTTTGTAAGACAACAGTTTGTAAGACAACAGTTGTAAACTGTAGCCAACCTTCCTTGTGGAGATGATGCAGATATTTTTAAAATTATTATTTGTCTGTCTGTAGTTTTTGCAGTTAGTCTTTAGCTACCTTGCTTAAATTGCATCAAATATTAGAATGCAAACCAGACACAAAGTGCCAACTGCTATTTGTCAAGGCTAATGTAGTAAAGAAGACATGGTGCTAGATCTGTATGTTAGATTTGATTTGATTCAAGAACCGACATCACAGCACTTGGGGCATTCCCATAAGCGCTCCGTCCCCATCTTCAGCAGCCAGCGAAGAGTTTGGATACTAATGGTGCCAGTAGCATTCTGATTAAACGTCCATCTTGCCTTCCCTCTGAGCCTCGAGCATCTGCCAGAACCTCTTGTCACTTCCCCCCCCCCCCCCCCCCCCCCCCCCCCCCCCCCCCCCCCCCCCCCCCCCATCAGTCTCACCAGACTAGTGATCCATCTGCTCCTCCGGACTGTACACGCTCTCCACAAGGCACCAACCACGTCTGCCTTATCATGCATCAGTATTCCACCAAGTTGTGCAAAGCCAGCCAGTCTGTCTGTCTGTTCATTTTCCAATACACCGGCTTGCCCCGGTGAAAAAATCCAGACAATACTCCTCACTCGTGTCCTCCGCATCGAGGCACGCCACTCTGCACAAAGCATACCTTTTCTGATCTTCCTCAGCATGCTTTCTGAATCAGTTACAATCACGATATGTGTGTGTGTGTGTGTGTTGTGTTCTCTAGCCAGCGGAAAGCTGCAGTGACTGCCTCCACCTCCGTTCTTAAGCTGGATGTTGTATCATATGCTAGGCTCTCCTGCACCAAACGTCGACCATTAACTTTTACTAAGAAACCCCAAGCACTTCTTTTGCCTCTTGACACTGAACTGTCTGTGTAAATGCTCAAATCTTCTGAGCGAGCATTATCTTGAATTAATTGCTGAATTTCCACCACTGTGGCACTGCTGATCAGTCTCTGCATTCCCGTCTCAGCGCAATTATGACTCTACACCAGTCTGACTGTTCAGGTGGCACTTTGACTCACTCCTCTCCTAATGTTCTCAAGGATGCAAATCTGTCTGATTGTCTGAGCCATCCATGACCTCCCTCTTATCAGCCGCTGACCCCTAACTGCACTCAGAGCTTCATGCAAAGGGTGGTATGTGTCTGCAGCTACCCTGAGATATGACTGCGCCTGCAGCACCTTGTGCCTACCTGCAACTGTCGGCTAACCACTGGGTGTCTCTGGTGCAGCCCAGAATGACCCACATAGCCGCGTTCTGTATGTGCTCCAGTTTGTCTATCTGACTCTATGAGACGGTAAGCAGTCCCAGGCCATAATCAACCACTGATAGGATCAGGTGCTGATATATTGTGAAAAGTATTTTCTGCTCTATGTCAATTGCAGCTATAGTCTTAAGTGCACTAAGTCCTTTTGGCATCTCGTCACAACACTCTTCACATGGTCCTTAAATGACAGGCTCCTGTCAAATGTAATTCCCAGATACTTCACTTTGCTCTCTCTGTTGACGTCTCTATCATCTATCGTGATACTTGGGACATCAGCTTTAACGATTCTGTTGTCAAGAGAACACCACAAAACAGACACCTTTTCCGGGTGGACGGCAGCCCTCATTGCTGTACACCACTCAGTCACTTTGTCTACTGTCGCTTTTAGCTCCCGGGCTGTTTGTTCCCTCTCTTCGCCCTGCTTATATGCAAGTATATCATCCGCAAAAGTCAGTATCCTTCCAACTCCTGGTGCTTCTAGGCCTGCAATCTTGCTCGTATACACGTTAAAGAGCACAGGTGAGATGGCGGTTCCCTGTGGCAGTCCTGGGGCCAAACTGCATGGTTCAGAGGTCCTTGAGCCCAGTCGGAGAGCAACCCGACGTGAATACAGGACAGCTGCAACCCAATTCACCAGCCGTGGACTGACCTCCTTCTCCCTCAGTGTAGCCATTAAGATGTTGTATCTCACTCTTTTTAAGCATCCTCGAGATCCAGTCCTACCGCAATAGTTTCCTGTCTGTTCTTGAACCCCTCAGAGTCATCAAAAGCAAAAGTGGCCGCATTTGCCCATGTGTCCTTTCCTGGCCTGTAGCTTCCCAGACCTCTTGGGAGAAGCTTCCCCCTTCCTAAAAATTCTTGCAGCTTTACAGCAACTATCTACTCCAAGATCTTCCCAAATGTGTTTTGTAAGGTGATGATTCTAAAGCCACTAAGCTTAGAATGATCTTTAAAAGGTGTTGTTAGTGGGATTAGATAGCTGTGCACCCAGTCCTGTGGTACTGATGCTGTCCTAATGTTCTGGTTAAAACAGTCGGCCATCTCTGCCAGGTCTACATCGCTCAAAGCCCTTATGTGACCATACCTGACACCATCAGGCCCTGGTGCAGTGTCTGTATATAGACAGTGGATCTATAACATATATATATCTATAACATATGCTGTAGATATACAGCAAGATCTGTATGTTAAAGATTCATTGGCCATACTGGATTTAGTTGTCAGTTAACTCAGCTACAGCTTAGGGCCTCAAAGTTTGTAGCGGCCTAAAAAAAAGTTCTATGTTTTCCATAAATGCAATTTTCCTTCAGTATATTTTAAAATATAATTTTTTTTAAATTCCCCACAATTTTCTAGTTTATTAATATTATTATTGGTATTTTATCTGGGGCTTTTATTTATTCTAACTTATTGTAGCCTGTTTAAATTAAATAAGAATCTGATATGTGTCAGTTTCCATGTTTTATTTTACCTGTTGTCTTTCCCTGCCTAATGCACGACTAATGATCAGTTTCCATCTTTTATTTTACCTGTTGTCTTTCCCTGCCTAATGCACGACTAATGATCAGTTTCCAGGATGGTGCGTATTCATCAGCTTGCGATGTAATCAACACATTGGCTCCAAAGGTCTTCCTGATACCCAGTTTAGGTTCGGTTGACCCCAGAGCCTTCCCTTGGGATTTGCAGGATATCTTTGCGGAGAAAAAAAGACTAATAATTAGGATTGTTTCTTTTAGAGTCGGAGTGCATCTGCCTAAGAGGCGAGGAACCAACAATCTGCATACAAATAAACCAGATCTGTGAAATGGATGTGCATGTAAAAGTTAAGTTCTGAAACAAAAGATCACTGTTCAGAAATGCACCCAAAAAAATCTCCACCCTAGTTCACAGCAGGTGAACCCAAAGGAGGAGAAGAAGATGTTTTCAATACAATGTTTTCCCCATTATGAATTTAAAAGATCCAGACACTAACTTGACATGCCACAGTATATTGCCTGGCACATTTAACTTGACATGCCACAGTATATTATCTGGCACATTCAACTTGACATGCCACAGTATATTGCCTGGCACATTTAACTTGGCATGCCACAATATATTACCTGGCACATTTAACTTGGCATGCCACAGTATTACCACTTTTGCAGTGTAGGCGGGAGCGGAGGGAAGCCTTTGAGCCTCAAGATTTAGGGCGGCATGGCTAGTTCTGTCACCATGGACTGCAAGTTAGTCTGCAGTAATGCTTCTGATGAGACAAGATACAGCAAAATATTCCAGGCAGTAAATTTTCCATATATATATATATATATATATATTATATGTGTGTGTGTGAATAGTTTGCGTCCACATAATTTAAAGCATTGTGCTTTGTTTATTTTCTGTATAAACAGGTGGAGGTAACTGTAGAGATGGACTGGGTGAGGGAGCTTGTTCTGGTTCTCAAGAAACTCATCACAACCCATTTAGGTCAGTAGAGGTCTCTTTTTATAGTTACTTCATTTGCAGTTCCCTTTGATAAATTAAATGACGAACGTTTTCTAATTCTGTATTCTAGCACCAGATGATAGTCAAGATGTCCTGGGACTGGTTTGTGCCTTGGTCAACACCGTGGGGCCACAAATTCTCAGCCCACAAGTATCTAGAGGTGATGAGTTCCTCAGGGCTGTCGTAGGCAGGGTGGCCATAGAGGTCTATATGCAGCTGGACAACATTCATGATTGTAACGTAAGTTTGTGTTTGTAAAAGTGTTCTTTTTATCAGACTTATTTATCTCTGTTAGTGTCTCAATCTTCTCCTTTAGATTCTGCAAGAGGATTCTTAACACTGTGATGAATTCGTTAAGCAGTTTGTCCTGGGTTCTCCAGTCCGATTGACACTTTAGGCACCTTCTAACTGTTTGAGCAAGTACCTCCCGGTGCAGCCTCTCAGACTGTTGTAAGAACCTGTGCCTCATTTATGTTCCCTCACTAGGGCATCTTCAGCCTTGACCTCTTGTTCTCATTCTTTTGTTTGACTCAAATTTTACCATCTTCTCAAACCATGTTTCTGTATGTTCAAGCTTGCTGTTACCTGGTCATCTAGGCCATTATCCTTAGATAAACCAGGTTACATTTCTGATTGTTTTGAATTTCTCTGTTTCCACACTGGCATTGTTTTTGTAAGATTTTCTGGCTCGATAAACTTGTAATTCCTCTCAGCCCGGTCAGTCCCTACCTTACGATCAGATTTTCCAAAGCTTCCTTATCAAAGGTTATCTAAGTCATGTACTGTCTTCTACAAGCTTCCGTTTACTTGTGATTATTGTCCTCTGCTGGTTTTTTTTCCTGGGAGAGATCAGCTGCAGACTGTGACGGATGGATGACTGATGGATGGATGACTGTGATGGATGGATGACTGTGATGGATGGATGACTGTGATGGATGGATGACTGTGAGGGATGGATGACTGTGATGGATGGATGACTGTGATGAATGGATGACTGTGATGGATGGATGACTGTGACGGATGGATGACTGTGAGGGATGGATGACTGATGGATGGATGACTGTGATGGATGGATGACTGTGATGGATGGATGGATGACTGTTACGGATGGATGCCTGTTACGGATGGATGACTGTGATGGATGGATGACTGTGAGGGATGGACTATTGCAGTTGGAAAAAGGTCAAATGCAGCAAGTATAGAGACTAGATGTCTGGGAGAAAACCAGCCTCAGAATGACAAAGTGTCAACGTTTTTATGTGGAATATGATGTGGCAGAAATTGCCACTCCTGTATTGGACTCAGGGACTGACGGTTACCTGCTAGGGTTTTTTCTTGGTTAAAATGCCAATTCCTAACTGCATCCTTAGTTCAGTCTCCTGTATGCAATCCTATTCTTTATTAAGCATCTTTGTTTCAGTTTTTATAGATAAATGCCTTTTCCTTTGAGGCTTGTGCCATTCTCTAGTTTATGGATACACTGTCCTACAAAGAGCATCTTCTCCTAGCTTTCTTAGGTCATGCATTCCCAACAACTGCAAATTCCAATGTAGCTCTTTTATAACTTCATGTTCTTCTATCCCTCCCTTACTTTCCATCATTGTCTTCCTATTAGTGACTTCGATCAAGGATCAGACGTTCACATGGGCACTGAGTAAACCACTCAGCTGGAGCTTGTGTATGTGCTTGTTGAGTTTGTTATGTCCTGTCTGGAGGCGTTGAATGATGACCTGTTCATGTTAGTGAAATAACTGATGGTCACCTTTGGCCTGATATTGTATTCTGATAGACTGGATGGGATTTTTTTCTCAAAATATGTAATAAATTTCTCTTCTCCTCCTCCCTTTTCTGTTTCTTTTTTTTTCCCTTCTCCTTTATCTTTCACCATTAAAAGAGCAGTTTGCATATTGTATTGTAGTCTACAGAAAGGATTCAATGTCTGCATCTTTCAGCCAATCACATCCTATATCAGCAGACTTTAATTAGTGACCTTTTACAGCATGCTTGCTAAGGGGCAGTCGTTTCCCCCCTCCCCCATATTCCACAGTGAGTTTGCAGTGTCACCTTCCATCTTTCCACCAGGCCTCTCAGAGGTATCACCTTCCATCTTTCCACCAGGCCTCTCAGAGGTATCACCTTCCATCTTTCCACTAGGCCTCTCAGAGGTATCACCTTCCATCTTTCCACCAGGCCTCTCAGAGGTATCACCTTCCATCTTTCCACCAGGCCTCTCAGTGGTATCACCTTCCATCTTTCCACCAGGCCTCTCAGAGGTGTCACCTTCCATCTTTCCACCAGGCCTCTCAGAGGTATCACCTTCCATCTTTCAACCAGGCCACTCAGAAGTATCACCTTCCATCTTCTCACCAGGCCTCTCAGAGGTATCACCTTCCATCTTTCCACCAGGCCTCTCAGAGGTGTCACCTTCCATCTTTCCACCAGGCCTCTCAGAGGTATCACCTTCCATCTTTCCACCAGGCCTCTCAGAGGTATCACCTTCCATCTTTCTACCAGGCCTCTCAGAGGTATCACCTTCCATCTTTCCACCAGGCCTCTCAGATGTATCACCTTCCATCTTCTCACCAGGCCTCTCAGAGGTATCACCTTCCATCTTTCCACCAGACCTCTCAGAGGTATCACCTTCCATCTTTCCACCAGGCCTCTCAGAGGTATCACCTTCCATCTTTCCACCAGGCCTCTCAGAGGTATCATCTTCCATCTTTCCACCAGGCCTCTCAGAGGTATCGCCTTCCATCTTTCCACCAGGCCTCTCAGAGGTATCGCCTTCCATCTTTCCACCAGGCCTCTCAGAGGTATCACCTTCCATCTTTCCACCAGGCCTCTCAGAGGTATCATCTTCCATCTTTCCACCAGGCCTCTCAGAGGTATCACCTTCCATCTTTCCACCAGGCCTCTCAGAGGTATCACCTTCCATCTTTCCACCAGGCCTCTCAGAGGTATCACCTTCCATCTTTCCACCAGGCCTCTCAGAGGTATCACCTTCCATCTTTCCACCAGGCCTCTCAGAGGTATCATCTTCCATCTTTCCACCAGGCCTCTCAGAGGTATCATCTTCCATCTTTCCACCAGGCCTCTCAGAGGTATCACCTTCCATCTTTCCACCAGGCCTCTCAGAGGTATCGCCTTCCATCTTTCCACCAGGCCTCTCAGAGGTATCATCTTCCATCTTTCCACCAGGCCTCTCAGAGGTATCCAGTGTTGGACAAAGTTTACAAGCTGCTGAGTTCTGTCGTCCAATTCCTAGCAGAAGTGGGAGACCAAGTTGATTCCAACACTATCATCCTCATCTACAGAAAGCTAGTGGAAATCAGTGACATCATCATGGCGTTTCTCTTCAGTGTGGCCAGTCAAGAAATCCCATTTGTAAGTCAATTTGTTGAGTTTGTGATTTGTTTGAATTATTGCCCATTTTTACTGACCAGCTGCACACAAATCATGATTGTAGCCGACGCACAAAACATGCAGAGTGGCAAGCATCGCTTCAGGAGTTGCGGGTAGTTAGTGTTCTCTAAATGTGCTCTGTGGGTATGCAGGAGTGTTGGGAAGTGAACAGGCAAATAGATTCTCTGTGATAATATGGATAAGATCATGTATGATAATTTTGTGTAATAATATGCCTGAGAACACATACAAACGTTATGTGTAATAATATAGCTAAGAATTTGAACAATCATTATGGCTGAGAACATATACAATCATTGTGTGTAATAATATGGCTGAGAACATGTACAATCATTGTGTGTAATAATATGGCTGAGAACATGTACAATCATTGTGTGTAATAATGTGGCTAAGAGCATATACAAACATTGTGTGTAATAATATGGCTGAGAACATGTACAATCATTGTGTGTAATAACATGGCTGAGAACATGTACAATCATTGTGTGTAATAATATGGCTGAGAACATGTACAATCATTGTGTGTAATAATATGGCTGAGAACATGTACAATCATTGTGTGTAATAACATGGCTGAGAACATGTACAAAACATTGTGTATAATAATGTGGCTGAGAACATGTACAAACATTGTGTATAATAATATGGCTGAGAACATGTACAATCATTGTGTATAATAATATGGCTGAGAACATGTACAATCATTGTGTATAATAATATGGCTGAGAACATGTACAATCGTTGTGTATAATAATATGGCTGAGAACATGTACAATCATTGTGTATAATAATATGTTTGAGGACATGTAAGATGGTTTTTGTCATTATTGACCTTTCAGAGGAAGTGCATTATGTACTTGGTTATTTTATGTTTCTGTGATCTACTCATTGCCCATGTTTGGCACTGATAATGCAAAGTGGGAAAGTAGATGCTCTTAATCATTTGTTGTTTGCCTGGATGGGAGAATTTTTAACTTTTTTTGGGCTCTGGAAACACTACGAAAATAGGTCATGAACCTTTAGAATTGCAGAAAAGAAAAAATCATCGACACAAGCAACAGTGTTTGCACAGGTCGCCCACACAAGCGTTTGCACAGGTCTTCCACACAAGCAACAGTGTTTGCACAGGTCGCCCACACAAGCAACAGTGTTTGCACAGGTCGCCCACACAAGCAGCAGTGTTTGCACAGGTCTTCCATACAAGCAACAGTGCTTGCACAGGTGGCCCACACAGGCAACAGTGTTTGCAAAAGTCGCTCACACAAGCAACAGTGCTTGCACAGGTCGCTAATAAATTTGTTAAAAATGTTTTCATCTACATGTTCAAATTTTGTTCAGAAATATGTAAAGATAATATGAAAGGAGCAGTGAATAAACACAAAAAGGTACCTTAAAAAACACATAAATCAAGTGACTTACACTGTGACCCTGTGACCTCTATCACTAAGGCTTATGAGTGAATCTGACATCATCTTGGCTTCAAAAATGCTATTTAGCTCAATGGACACCCACCCCCCCCCTCCCCTTTTTCCCTTTTCCCGCAATGGTATTTTCTTAGTTAATATATTAATATCCTGACCTCTGAAACATTTGCGCGGGCACAAACTCAGCCAATAGCATTAATTATTCATTGCATAAATAAGTCACTGTAGACAAGTTGGAAAAGTGACATTTTTGGGGAATGTGACCCAACCGGAAATGTCAGTTTTCAGCTTTTCTGTGCGAAAGGGTTGAAGCTATTAGACTTGATTGTATTTTAAAGAATTAGCGACATAGTAATTGCCATTTTGTTGTGATCTTTCAGCCCAAACACCACATTGTGGTGCTAATCTCTGTGAGAACGTTGGCGGCCATGTTAACTGAGATAACAGAAGAGGTAACACCTAGGATGCTGGAGTTACTGCCTTTCTTTAACTTATTGTGGTAAGCGGCCTGTCTGTAAATATGTTCTTTTGTCTTTCATTTCACTGATAAATAGCATCTTCATTCCTACTTCATGCTTTTAGTGCCAGACATGGACAGTAAGTAGGGCATTAGAACAGACAATAACTTCCTGTGAAATTTGCTCTCTGTAAGGTCTCTAGCAACACAAGATGGGAGAGGGTTACGAATACCAGCATTAGAGAGAAAGTTGGAATACTATTGTGTCTGAATTATGTTAACAAACAAAGGATGAAATGGTTCGGCCGTCTAGTCTGAATGCAGCCTGACCAAACTGCATCTATCTTTTACAGCAGAACATCTGGGAGGAAGGCAAGGGGAAGACCAGGAAAGAGTTGGGTAAATACTGAAACAGGAGAATAATAATAATAAACATTGAATGTAATTGTGCCAGACATGGTCACTCACATAAAACCAAACAAAAAAAATGTAACTGGAAATGGGATTTTTGAGAAGTGACCAGAAGAGACAAAATCAGAAAATGAGCGGTAAGAGAAAAGGTCGGCACAGAACCAGTTCTAACTGGTTTGTCAAGTGGTTTTTTTTCATAGAGAGAATGCCTTGTGACAGCGTATGCAACAGCGTATACTTAAAGAGAGGAAAGTAGAGCACAGGGTAGACCAAGAACAAGATGGAAAGATAACATCAGAGAAGCTCTACAACAGCACAATGTACCTATGGTCTAGGCAGCCAGAAGAGCAGGAAGCAGAACCTTATATCTCTTTGACACCCAAAGCAGTAAAAGAAGAAGAAAAACTCTAATTGTACACTTAAAAAGGGAAATAACAGTCCCCTTTACACACCATGGGTGCATTGGCTATATCAGACTAGAATCATATTTTTATAGAAATTAGATGTGTCAACCTGGCAGCCGAGGTCATGTATAAAGAAAAAAGTCTGGCTACGTGTACATTTGTACACACGACCTTTGGATTTAGAGGTGAGCGTCTCTACACCACGGCAACTCCCAGTTGCACACTTTTGCCATATCTGTTTCTTTGATATTACCATATTTATGCCAAGTAAGTTTTGCATTTTCAGTACTAATTTTATTTTCTCTGTTGTTTCAGCCAAAATGATTTGGTCATGGACAGGGAAAACACAGCACCACCTGCCCTAGCCATCAAGTTTATGGAAGCTGATACATGCATTGAGTCATGTAATATAGCAGAATCTGAAGATGCCAGGTTTGATCCAAACCTTGGTTCAGAACATCATGAAATGGATACTTCTTCTAGTGAATTGCCTGGTGTGTCTAGTCCCATAGCTGAGAACTGTAACCATGTGGACCCAAGCCAGAACACAGTTGATAGCTTTGGTCGTCTAACTGTATCAGCTACTGATACTCATGAAGCAGACAAGGACACCTTTAAAATGCCTCCAGCATCATCATCATCCTTGACTGCTGCTGTTCTCTTGCACACAGAAGAACAGCAGCGTGATAATGACACAGTTAACAAAAATGATATTCTTCAGGATAAAGAGAACACATTATCACAGAGCAGTGATATTTCTCTAAGTGAAAAAAGTATCAAAAACTTCAGAGTTTATCAAGCCTCGGTTTATTCATTAAAAACCAAACCAAGGTCTGCAAGCTCGAGGAAGGTATCATTCGTGGAAGAAATGCTTACCGTAAATGATCAAGTTGAGTCAGAACAGTGGAAACCGACGCCAGATGATGTTTTAGGGTATCTGTTGCCAGTCTACATGCATCTGTTGGACAACCCAACAGTTTTAGATGTAATGGAAAGATGTGGTACATTCGAGACCATTGTCGCATTTCTGAAAACTTCTTTGTCTCGTTTGATCGACAATGAGAGTTCTGGATATCCAGAGGTGAGTGACCAGAAGTGTTGTAATGTCCTCTCCGATGTTTTGTAATGTCCTATCAGATGCAGTATAAAGCTATGTCCCCTCAGATTTTTTGTAATGTCCTCTCAAATGTGTTGTTATAATGCCCCTTCAGCGTGTTGTAGTGTCCTCTCAGATGTGTTGTAAAGTTATGCCTCCTCAGAAGTGTTATAAAGTTATGTCCCTCGTATGTGTTCTAATGTCCTCTCAGATGTGTTATAATGTCCCCTCAGAGATGTTGTAATGCCCCCCCCCCCCTTCCCCCCATCTCCAGAGGTGTTGTAATGTTATCTCAGATGTTTTATAGAGCTATGTCCCCTAGGATGTGTTAAATCTGTTCTAATGTCCTCTCTTATGTATTGTAAAGCTGTGTACTCCTAGATAGGTGTAATATCCTTGAGATATGTTGTAATGTCCCCTCAAATCTTTTTGTCTCCTCAAATGTGTTGTAAAGTCCTCTAACATGTGTTATACTGTTATGTCCCATCACATGTGTTATAATGAGTCTGAATTACCAATCTTGAATCTTCTGTACCTGTGGCTGCAGTCTGTTGGGTCTGGTATGCAGTCTCAATAGAATGATCTGTTTCTTTTGTGTCAGGAGGTTGATTTTGTCTATAGGATTGTGCCCTGGATTAGAAGTGTGCGAGTAGGCTCTCATGGCTGTCTTGATCGATCTGAGTTATATTGTCCTCTTAGGTGCAAAATAAATGGCTTTTCTGTTAAACAATCAGAAAGCTTTATAATGAGTTCACTGTATTTCCTCCTGTTGGTAGGAAGGTGATTGTTCCCCACCAGGACATTGCACAAGCGATAATCACCCGGTGACACATAGTGTCACCATGCGGACGAGGATCACTCGTAGAGAGGTCTCGGAAACCCCGTTCAGCTGTTAGGCCATATTTCAGGCCCGGCTTTATTTAGGGCCCTGGCAAAAGCCAGGGTAGGGCTTCAAAATAGCTTAAAATATCATCCCACACTGGGACGAAAAGATTCATTATATTCCTCCTGTTATCCACAGAGCTCAACCATCAATGCCATGTCAGTGATTGAGCTGGTCTACACAAATTATCCATTAGCTGCCTCAAACCTGGACTGCTTCAAGGAGTTGTTTGAATTCTCTATCTTGACTCTGCTAAAATTACGTAAGTGTATGTTGTTATGTTATCCTCAAACCTGGACTGCTTCAAGGATGTTTTTTGAATTCTCTATCTTGACTCTGCTAAAATTACGTAAGTGTATGTTGTTATGTTATCCTCAAACCTGGACTGCTTCTAGGATGTTTTTTTATTTCTCTATCTTGACTTTGCTAAAATTACGTAAGTGTATGTTGTTATGTTATCCTCAAACCTAGACTGCTTCAAGGAGTTTTTTGAATTCTCTATCTTGACTCTGCTAAAATTATGTAAGTGTATGTTGTTATGTTATCCTCAAACCTGGACTGCTTCAAGGAGTTTTTTGAATTCTCTATCTTGACTCTGCTAAAATTACGAAAGTTTATGTTTTTATGTTATCACAATCGACTTTCTGTATGATGAGCATTGGGCAGTGATCAGAAGAATGGCCTGCAAAGGACTTGCTTCACAGTTTTGATGACTTATCTGCTTTTATATTTTTAAATATTAGTTTTCGATTTTTATTTATCAGGTTGTTGTCTTTATATTTTTACCTTCAGGTTGCAGTTTATATTTTTTAAACATCTTATTTATGACTTACTCTGTGCTGTAGGTTCAAAGCAAAGGCGAATGAACAACACTTAGTTCAGCCAAGCCTAGAACAACATCTGGGTGGAGAATGGAGGCAGAGGCAGTCTCTGCAGCTTTCTGTTGGTTTGAAAACCAGCTCCATGTTATAAATGTAGGAGACTCACAAAGTATGCTGAGAAGGGTGCAGTCATGCATTGTTCCTGCAGTGTAACAAGACTGTGCTTTAGACTGGCTCTGCCCCACTGGATGGGAAATTGATGCATGACAAGCAAGATGGGGTCAAGGCCCTTTGAGAGCAAGTGAACAATGTGCAGAGGCACAGATAGTTATTTTTGTCTGGAGAGAAAGGTACAGTTAACAGTGACCAGGGGATCTGGTCAACACTCACAGTGAAGGTAAACTGGACATATAATCAAACTGCTACTGGCACCATTGAAAATTGTACACTTGGCTGGCTGCTGATGTTAAGGACAGTGCAGTTATGGGAATGTCCAGAGTGCTGTGATGTCAGTTCTTAACTCAACTAAAACAACTGAACATACAATTATTATAACCAACTAACAAAGCATACTGACAGCAGTGGAGACAAGCTTACTGAGAACAGTGGAGACTAGCTTACTGAGAACAGTGAAGACAAACTTACTGAGAACAGTGGAGACAAGCTTACTGAGAACAGTGGAGACTAGCTTACTGAGAACAGTGAAGACAAACTTACTGAGAACAGTGAAGACAAACTTACTGAGAACAGTGGAGACAAGCTTACTGAGAACAGTGGAGACTAGCTTACTGAGAACAGTGGAGACTAGCTTACTGAGAACAGCGGAGACTAGCTTACTGAGAACAGTGGAGACAAGCTTACTGAGAACAGTGGAGACAAGCTTACTGAGAACAGTGGAGACTAGCTTACTGAGAACAGTAGAGACTAGCTTACTGAGAACAGTAGAGACTAGCTTACTGAGAACAGTAGAGACTAGCTTACTGAGAACAGTAGAGACAAGCTTACTGAGAACAGCGGAGACTAGCTTACTGAGAACAGTGGAGACAAGATTACTGAGAACAGTGGAGACAAACTTACTGAGAACAGTGGAGACAAGATTACTGAGAACAGTAGAGACTAGCTTACTGAGAACAGCGGAGACTAGCTTACTGAGAACAGTGGAGACAAACTTACTGAGAACAGTGGAGACAAGCTTACTGAGAACAGTGGAGACAAACTTACTGAGAACAGTGGAGACAAGCTTACTGAGAACAGTAGAGACTAGCTTACTGAGAACAGTGGAGACTAGCTTACTGAGAACAGCGGAGACTAGCTTACTGAGAACAGTGGAGACAAGCTTACTGAGAACAGTGAAGACAAACTTACTGAGAACAGTGGAGACAAGCTTACTGAGAACAGTGGAGACTAGCTTACTGAGAACAGTGGAGACATGCTTACTGAGAACAGTGGAGACTAGCTTACTGAGAACAGCGGAGACATGCTTACTGAGAACAGTTGAGACTAGCTTACTGAGAACAGTGGAGACAAACTTACTGAGAACAGTGGAGACAAACTTACTGAGAACAGTGGAGACAAGCTTACTGAGAACAGTGGAGACAAGCTTACTGAGAACAGTGGAGACAAGCTTACTGAGAACAGTGGAGACAAGCTTACTGAGAACAGTGGAGACAAGCTTACTGAGAACAGTGGAGACAAGCTTACTGAGAACAGTGGAGACAAGCTTACTGAGAACAGTGGAGACTAGCTTACTGAGAACAGTGGAGACTAGCTTACTGAGAACAGTGGAGACTAGCTTACTGAGAACAGTGGAGACACTACTGTGTTTGGAAATGAACAGGCAGACAGATTGGTTGGTTCTGCATCACTTTTGTGGTGTTGACACTGCTGGGTTTGGAAATGAATAGGCAGACAGATTGATTGGTTCTACATCACTTGTGTGATGATCAGTGCACGAAAAGACAAGACAATTATAGAGAGCAAGTAATCAATTCATCAGCGAATTGCGACTCTGCTCTAGCTGCTGAAGTTACAGTGTGACAGTGTGGTTATGAGAAATTCCTGAGTTCTGTGATGTTACTTCTCTCACGACCTCCACGTGCTCTGATCTCTCACTAGCTCCACGAGTGCTCTGATCTCTCACTACTTCCACAAATGCTCTGATCTCTCACTACCTCCACAAGTGCTCTGATCTCTCACTAACTCCACAAGTGCTCTGATCTCTCACTACTTCCACAAGTGCTCTGATCTCTCACTACCTCCACAAGTGCTCTGATCTCTCACTAGCTCCACAAGTGCTCTGATCTCTCACTAGCTCCACAAGTGCTCTGATCTCTCACTACTTCCACAAGTGCTCTGATTTCTCACTACCTCCACAAGTGCTCTGATCTCTCATGACCTCCACAAGTGCTCTGATCTCTCATGACCTCCACAAGTGCTCTGATCTCTCATGACCTCCACAAGTGCTCTGATCTCTCACTAGCTCCACAAGTGCTCTGATCTCTCACTAGCTCCACAAGTGCTCTGATCTCTCACTAGCTCCACAAGTGCTCTGATCTCTCACTAGCTCCACAAGTGCTCTGATCTCTCACTAGCTCCACAAGTGCTCTGATTTCTCATGACCCCCACAAGTGCTCTGATCTCTCATGACCTCCACAAGTGCTCTGATCTCTCACTAGCTTCACGGCTGCTCTGATCTCTCCGGACCCCCATAAGCATAAAATAACTGATGGTGCCTGTTTCAGTGAAGTTGCTGCCTTCATATTTATTTATCAAATGCTTCATATCCTAACCTTGTAGTGATTCAGCCCCATCCACCAGCTCTGGTGTGTCTGAAGCTTCTAGAAGTTACCTTGGCTACATACAGCATACAGATGAGAGGTGACACAGGTAAATATATTTTGTTTCCTATTGACCACTTTCACCCCACGAATGCTAAACAAAATGGGTCATGAACACGTAGGAATTTCTTAAATAATCCTTTACAACAGCAACAACAAAACAGAACCCCAAAAAAAAACTAATTTTACACAGGTACCGAATAAATTGCTTAAAGATTGACTTACCTACATATGTTACATTTTTGTTTCGGAATCTGTAACAGAATGAAGCATTAAGTTAAATGCATTCCCTAGGGCGGAAATTAAATATGTATTGGGTGACCTTTGTGTACCCAAAGTGTATCCTTTGCTCAGACCCCACTCAGCAGACAACAGTTCTTTGAAAAGATGATATAGACACATTTCTTTCGTGTCCTCACTATCAAAACCATGATAGCAACACATTCATAAAATAACTTTTAACTAAGAATAATCGGAGTCCATCAGGCTCATACCCTAATATTCTTTGCCATACTGCCTTGACAACAATTACTGATAACTGGCATTTTAATACAAAAATGGTAAAATTAAATGGTTTATAAACACACGTGCATGCACACATGCACATGTACACACACTATCTAGATTAGACTGGCAGATAGCAATGCATCTTTGACGTTAAGATGACTGCATGAGCTCAGAGTAAAGCCTGGTGAAGCTTATCAATGTCATCTTCTAGCTAAAGATGTGAGACAAAATCAACCTCTCATGGGAACCATTAGTAGAACCACTTAGGGTGGCTGGGCTGCACAGGAGGACTGAGCATGTATGGGAGTATGCGGGCAGTGACCTCGATTGTGAGCACATAAAACACACATATGTACACATGCATGTACACACACATGTATAAAAGCATGCACACACACTTATTTATATTTTATCATCATGTGCCTCGTCGACTTGCGTGGGCAATCGATCCTCTCTACAATCTGCGCTCTGCAGCAGCGTTTATCAGTTTGTGTGTAGACACCCCTCCATGCCATGACAAAACTCTGTCAAGAATATTCTCACACTGTCTTCCTCTGTCTTTCTTTCCACAGATTTTTCCAGTGGTCAAAACATGTTCTAGTTTCCTTCTTCTCATGACCAAAAAATTATGACTATCTTTTTCTGATGTTTGTGATAAGTTGTCTTCGAGCCCTTACATCTTTCAAAACATCTGGGTTGCTCTTTTTGTCTGTCTGAGAAATTATAGAATTCTTCTGTAAAATCACATCTCTGAGGTCTCTAATTATTATTATTATTATTGCTTATTTTATTTTGAAGAGACGCCATCGTTGACCCGGATAAAGGCATCCCTGTGTCCACTGTTCAGTGCTGCCATCAAATATCTCAGTTACTTCTATGAGATCCGACAACACCAGGGCTGTCAAGTCTTCTCACTGCACATCAGGAAAGAGTTCAGAGATATCTGGCCCCTGGCTGAAAAATCTTGGACCCAGTGTGTTGCTGGTAAGTGCTTGAGGCCGGGTTTACCCAGAGTTCCCAGTGTGTTGCTGGTAAGTGTTTGAGGCCGGGTTTACCCAGAGTTCCCAGTGTGTTGCTGGTAAGTGCTTGAGGCCGGGTTTACCCAGAGTCCCCAGTGTGTTGCTGGTAAGTGTTTAAGGCCGGGTTTACCCAGAGTCCCCAGTGTGTTGCTGGTAAGTGTTTGAGATCGCATTTACCCAGAGTCCCCAGTGTGTTGCTGGTAAATGTTTGAGACCGGGTTTACCCAGAGTCCCCAGTGTGTTGCTGGTAAGTGTTTGAGGCCGGGTTTACCCAGAGTCCCCAGTGTGTTGCTGGTAAGTGTTTGAGATCGCATTTACCCAGAGTCCCCAGTGTGTTGCTGGTAAATGTTTGAGACCGGGTTTACCCAGAGTCCCCAGTGTGTTGCTGGTAAGTGTTTGAGGCCGGGTTTACCCAGAGTCCCCAGTGTGTTGCTGGTAAGTGTTTGAGATCGCATTTACCCAGAGTCCCCAGTGTGGCTTTTGTGAGAACCGGTCTACCACTAATATGATATTTTTGTTACGACAGTTGCAGGAAAAATCCTGTGAACAAAATCAACCACTGTGTGTTGCTTTTATTTATTTTACTAAGGCATTTGATTTGGTGAGTCGAAAAGGTCTGTTCAGCACGCCGATGAAGATTGGGTGTCCACCCACCCTACTGAGCATTATTGAGTCGTTCCACACAGGTATGAATGGTGCAATCAACTTTGAGGGTGTAACATCGGAGGAGGTGTAATCAAAATGGAGTGAAGCAGGGGTGTGTGCTTGCTCCTACTTTCTTTGGAATATACTTCTCACTTCTTTTGGGACATGCCTTTCGAGGTCAGGAGGATGGTATATTCATCCATTCACGATCTGATGGCAGTCTTTACATTGCTGTAGACTGAAGGCCAAAACCAGGATAAGAAAGCTACTTATCAGTGAGCTGCTGTTTGCAGATGATGCCGCAATAACCACCCACTCAGAGGAGGAGCTGCGATGTTTACTGCCTTTGCTGATGCGTGCTGTGAATTTGGACTAACAGTTAGCCAAAAAAAAAAAGACAAAGGTTATGGTAAAAGGTGTTAATGATAGACCTACAGTCTACATTGACGGTGAAGAGTTTAAGACAGTAGACAATTTTACCTATCTGGGTTCCACAAAAAGTAAAACGTAAAGTAAAGATCCATTTTCACGCCTTAGGCGCATCGTGTATATGGAAAGAGCCTCCCATATTTTTACAGACCAATCATCTGGGTTCCACAGTGAATAGTAAACTATCGCTGGACCAAGAAATCAACATCAGGATAGGTAAGGTAGCAACAACAATGAGCAGATTGACAAAGAGAGTTTGGGAGAGCAGAAAGCTCCAATTAAAACAAAAATTCTTGTCTATCAGGTTCTCAGCACTCTGTTTTATGGCAGTGAAACTTGCTGAACTTATTAGCACCATGGGAGATGGCTAGTAGTTTTCAGCTGCGATACCTAAGAAGAATACTTGGCATTAAGTTTCAAGACAGAATCACAAACACTGAGGTATTGGAAAGAGCAGGTACTACAAGTCCTTTCAGTGCTCAGTTTTCAAAGGCTCAGGTGGCTGGGTCACACTTGAAGAATTAAGGATGGCAGAGTCCCTAAGGACATCCTTTATGGTGAATTAAAGATAAGTAGAAGATGTCGAGGCCGACCTCTTCTATTGTATAAAGATGTGTGCAAGTGAAGCATGAAAGATGCAGGTATTGAGGTGGACTCATGAGAACAAAATGCCATGAACTGTGTTGTGTGGAGAGGGCATATCATGAAGGGAATGAGAGTGAAGGAAGAAATTATTTCAGAAAAGATGACAGCTGAGCCTCTGAGAAGAAACGAATTAAACACAGATGTTGAGAACAATGGTCCTGAAATCCCATGCTATCATTGTTGAAGACTTTTCTTGACACCGGTGGGTCTTGCTAGTTACACTCCCCATCGCCATGGGCTGTGAGTCCTATGCCTCCTCATAGCACAATATAACACTATCATCTGGAAAGAGGAAAGGGTGCCAAGCATCTGTAAGAAGACAGGGTAAAGATAAACCTTGGTGGTGGTGGGTGTGTCTAGCAAGACTCGAAATGTCCTCTCCATAGCACAAAGCCTGGGCGTTATTGTAGAGACCATATGTTGTCCAGGCATCATGATCCTTTTCTTGGTCTACCTTGTTTACTCCAGAATAAAGTTAACACTAGAATTATGTTTTTTTTAAGCATCCTGCAGACACTGCAGATCAGTAGAGCATGTTCTGTCTGGCCATCTGTTGGAGCTTACCCCCTATATGAGCTGCCAGTTAAGGCTAAGGGCCTGGTCTGCCCCGCCATAACATTAAGTTTTCAAGTTCTATTTTCTTTTCCTGTGTTAAGGCTGACGGCTGACGATTATTAAGAATCTCTTGTACTGTCAGAATAAATAATGAGGATTGCTTGAAGGAAGCTAATAAAAGCAGATCAATATATACAGCTGTAAGGAAAAGACAAGCACTGTTCTTTGTTTATGTGATTTGGGGGGGGGAGGGGGGAAGCTTTGGAGAATTTTGTGAACCTGGAAAGATCACCAGTAGAAGAGGCAGAAGCAGACTAAGAGAGAAGATGACGGATGGCCTGTGACGGTGGCACAGAGAGATATCATCGGTGGAACTGATCCAGATGTCAAGGGACCAAGATCTGTGGTGGTGCGTGAACGCCTACTCGCGTCTGTAGGGAGCATAATGATGATGATGATTAGGCTGTTATCCTCTCCGGTCTGCTCCTCTGCTCGAAGCCATTCACATTATATGGGATGTCAAGCTTGGTGTACGCCGCCCAACATTCAGCATTAACAGAGAGCTGCTAGTACCAACTATATTACATGATCATACCATTGCATTTTGTGTAGTTTTGTTTAATTTTGTGAAAAGTGATTTCTTAGTTCCGATTACTTCACGTGTGACATCTTTGTATCTTATGTCCTTCCTCAGGGCTGGGTCAGCTGGTGAAATCACCTGAATTCCAGGATGCTCTGGTCGCGTCTCAAATGTTGCCAGAATTTATGTCCTATCTGGTCAGTTTAGATGGTGAGTGAACATGTAATTAATCAGCAGACCACATTTTGTAAAGTAGACGTCGCAGGCCTCTAAGAAAATGTTTCCACTTATCAGGGCTTCTACTTATCCAGACACCACACGCAATAAAGAATGTACACTAAAACTGAGCAGTAGCATTGAGTAAAACAAGTAATTTTGCTTTGCTTTTTGGATTGTGAAAAATGTCTTTCCATGGCATGTGTAAATGCAATAAACGGGGAGATTATATTATCCAAGCACCCAGTCTGCATCACACAAATGTGTGATTGCAGCTCACAGTCATCCTCATCATCAGAGTCAGGGCTCAAATGGTCTGTTGGTGGAGTGGTTGGCAGACATAGCCCTAGAATATCACTGCTTGAAAGAGTGGCACTGGTAAAAACATCATTATCAATGTTCACATACTCCTCTGGTTCAATGTTCAGCTCTTGATACAACCTAGCAAGTAATGGCTCTGAAATTTTTTTTTTATACATCATTGAAGAATCGAATTCTTGAAGCCACTCTGAAATGAACACACAGTTTTGTCAGGCCTTTGAAACAATGAAGATTTAAAATTTTTCAGTCATGAATAAAGAACATTTTTCATTAACATACATATTGCAAGATACAACCCATACAGCCACTATTATTATTTTTTTTTTTTTTTGGATTTTTTCCCACCATGACACTTTTCATTTTTGAAGGAAAAATGTTTTATTAGGTAGCAGTCTCCAAAATAAGCCAATTTCATCAGCATTAAATACATCGGCAGAATTATAATTAGCCATAGCCGGTTAAAACACATCTTCTGTCCATGAATTAGTGGTTGCTTCATCAACAGATTGTTTCTCCCCATACACCACACACTCTTGTTTATTATGCAGTGGTGTTTTTCTGAAATGATCCAACCAGGCAGCACTACATTTCCATTCTGTCTGACCTCCAAAACGTGCACATTCTTCTGCTTTTGTCAACATGAATGGCCCATTTACATGTAATTTGCTGACTTAATACCATATTCCCTAGCTATATCCACTTTCTTCTTCCCACTATGTTCAGTCTCTTCCAACAGTTCAATCTTTCTTTTTAAAGTTTAAGTAGTCAGCTTTCGACCGGCGGCCACCATTGTTAATACTGTCTGTAGCTAGATATCGTAGCTGCGAGATTTCACATTATTTCCCGGGCTGACTAAAGAAAATTCTTTGACTTAAACAGGAAAATGTGTATAGTCTGACTTTATTTTTTAGATTCGACTAATCTGAATATTCAGTTAACCGAATTAGACTTATCAGGATTTTAAATACAAAGATAATGAAGAAAAATGGCCATGTCTAAACTGGCCATGTCGACTTAATCAAAATTCAACTTATCAGAATTCGACTTAAGTGGACTCGACTGTATAGGGAAAACAAGAGTTGACCCACTGCCTCCCCAACAAGCACGTCGGGGGAGTTAACTAATTAGGGGCATCCCTTAAAGTCGGAATGCATCTGCTCATGAGACAAGGAGCCAACAGTCTGCATACTGATAAGCCAGATCTGGTTTTTTTTAAAATGCACACAACATTCAGGTTTTGGAACAAGATTAAGTCCAGAGGTGGTTGAACAACCAGAAGTTTTCGCTTGAGTTTACAGCCGGTGAATGCAAAGAAGACGAAAAATTTCCTAGGACATTACCTAATACCTATTTGAGGCTGGGTTGAACCAGGAGCCGCTGTCGAACAAATCCATGTCAATAAAGACAAACAACTAATCTGAGAATGTAGTTTCCTGAATTAACATTTTATTTACATTTCTCATCCAGATTCATCTGCATCCTCCAGAGCTGTCCGTCAAGTGATCAAATCCATGTTTTCTCTGATTGAGTCAGCGGCCGTGGGTTCAGCTGCCCTTCGTAGGCTGATATTTGCCCATGGTGGCCAGGTAATCGCCAGGTGAGTTTGAGAAGTTAACCAGTTCACCCTGAGAATCGGTTTTGAGACTTTTACAGGTTTTTGATGACGTCTTTGGGCAGTGGCCAGTACACCTATGTAACAGCTTTGGTACTAGCGGCAAATGTGTTATTTGTAGATGGTGTGGATATGACCGTTTGCATGACTGTTTGTTGAAGATATTGCTTGGAGTAAAAAAAAAATGTTTCAGGGGGTCAAGGGCTGGGGGGGGGGGGGGGGGGGGGGGTGGGGGGGTCATCATAAATTTGTAATGACATCACTTTGCTCAGCCTTACTGTGTCAACAAAACACTTTGTTTTCTTGTTCAAAGGGAAGCAAACAGTTAATTCTTTGCTCTGTGTGTATGTGGAGATTACTTCCCTACATGTAAAAATAAAAATCATTTTTGTGCAAAGTTAATGGATAAAAATATAAAAGTAAATTCTTTAGCAACTTGACAGCTGCGATGTCGCAGTGGCCATCCTGCTTACCCCACCCCTTGGTGGTCACAGGTTTCCACCCCCTGAATTTTTAGAAGAACTGACCAAGACTCCATTGTTGAGAATTTTGTCGGTGCATTTCGTTTTAATGAAATTTTGAAACGATAATTTTTTAGATTCTAATTGGCGAAGGGATTAAACTTGTTTGACTCGTGTCCTGCTCGGTCCTAGTTTTCTTCAGCTCTATTTCCAGGTCTAATCGAACTAGCGACATTAACTTCATTTTCAGTGCTACCATAGATTCTGACATACAAGTCAGGTTGGTGTACAAGGCACAATATTTAGCTCAAAATTCTTGTTCAGGTGTATGATGTCTGTGTAGAAGTATATGTATGTCTTTGTGTGCATGTGTTTGTGCTTGCATGTGTATGTGTATGTATGCATGTGTGTGAGTGTGGTATATTTGAATGTATTTACCATCCATGCCTTTGTGTATTTTACTTGATATTCATGACACGTATATTGTTTAATCAATAATTTTGGAGACATACTCAGGAGGAGAAAATTTTGGAGACATACTCAGGAGGAGAGAATTTTGGAGACCTACTCAGGAGGAGAGAATTTTGGAGACATACTCATGAGGAGAGAATTTTGGAGACATACTCAGGAGGAGTGAATTTTGGAGACATACTCATGAGGAGAGAATTTTGGAGACATACTCATGAGGAGAGAATTTTGGAGACATACTCATGAGGAGAGAATTTTGGAGATCTACTCATGAGGAGAGAATTTTGGAGACATACTCAGAAGGGGAGAATTTTGGAGACATACTCAGGAGGAGAGAATTTTGGAGACATACTCAGGAGATACTCAGGAGGAGAGAATTTTGGAGACATACTCATGAGGAGAGAATTTTGGAGACATACTCAGGAGGAGATCGGAGCACTTATGGTCATGTCTGATGTGCGATAAAGATGATCTTTGAAATAAAAATGAACAATATTTAAGAATTGACATCACAGCACTCAGGACATTCCCATACTCGCTCCATCCCATCTTCAGCAGCAAGCGGAGAGTTCCAGTTCTGATGGTAGCAGCAATAGTCTGATTGTATATCCGTCTCAACTTTCCCGGAAGTGTTGATCGTCGGCCAGACCCTCTGGTCACTCCTCGCAGCACCATTCACTTTAGACCATGATGATAAACCTCTGCCTCCACACTGTTCGCTTGTGCCTAAAGGGCCCTTACAACATCTAGCTTGACATGCATCAGTTCATCACCAAGTTGTGTAGAACCAGCATTCAAGACATAATTTGCTGGTGACCTCTTCAGGACCTAATTTGCCTGTTTTCTTCTTTTACCTTTTCAACGCCTAATTGACCTCTCAACCTAGACCTAATTTTCTCCACAGCCTCTTTTCAGTGTCTAATTTACCTGACCCCCATCAAGCATAATTTACCTCGACTTTATGAAGTAAATTAACTGTGTACCTTATCCTCTCTTAGTAGCCGACCTCATCCTCTCTTAGCAGCCTATATCTGTCAGAATGGTCTTTACCATTTGCACAGTTGATGAATGAAAGAACGAACAAACTTGATTTTCTAAGGGTTACAAGTTGGGTATTCAGGCCCGTCTTACATTCGGCCCCTCCAAACACCCGTCTTTCACACAGCAGTTTTATTTTATCTATAAAGCATGTTATATTCTTATGATTATATTTGCATATTGTGAATATCAAGAAAAAAACCAAAAGCATAGGTGGTAAAATGCATGCACACACACACACACACCCACATACACACGCTTGCCCACTCACTTAAACACGAATATATATACACACCCATACACAGATAGACACACACACACACAGAAAAATGCGCACACACACACACAGAGAAAAACACAGAAGCACACACTCACATACAGACACACCCACCCAGGTACAACCCGCAGGCACACTTGCAGAGGCGCACACACACAAACAGACACACACACCCAGGCACAACCCACTGGGGAGAGAACCGATAACGGTGACCCTTAAATAGGGAATTTACGGGAACAATTCTGTAAAAATAAAAAACCCACAAATAAAAAGACACAACCATTATACACATATCAGTAAAAACTAAAAATTCCACCAATCTACCAAAATATTCAGAAATTAGGTTACAACTGAGAATTAACTGGGTCACATCTCTGAGTCTAAATATAAGTTGCTACTGTGAATTGTTTTTGGTTCAGTAAACGGGTTATAGGTTAGCACTGTGACAAAGTAAAGTTGTTTGTTTAGAAAGATAATCATCATATAATGTTTTTTGTTATTTTTTCTTCACAGAAAATTTCAGCTGAAGAAACTGGAAAGATGCCTCGAGAGTTTTTCAAAGACGGCATAATAAAGTGATTTCGCATCTCATCTGTAATGTCAACTGGTTTTGTTAGTTGTGTGTCTTTTATTTTTGATTATGTGTGAAGATTAGAACAAGAATCACCATATAAAAGACCTTAGCAAGATGGAAAACGCTTACCAGTAAGAATAATTATTGTGGAGAAAAAAAGAGGGGGTTAAAATGTTGTAAATAAATCATTGTTAAATTGAGGACAAGATGTTTCCATGGGTGAGCCTAATACCAGAGCACTGTGTATTCGCTTAGCATTTATGTCAGCCTCCTCGGAGGGTTGGAAACTTTCTTGCTATGTCCCAGCCTTCTCTTGAATGTCAACCAGTCTGCATATGTCTGCCCTGGATGGGTCCTTCAGGGGCAACAACTGGGGATCAGATGATGATGACAAAGCCACCACAGATTTGAGGCTACTAATATCCCACCAAACTAACTGGAAAAGTGAACCTGGTAAACAAATATCTGAATGTGTTGGTAAACTAACTGGAAAAGCGAGCCTGGTAAACAAATATCCATATCCGAATGTGTTGGTAAACTAACTGGAAAAGCGAACCTGGTAAACAAATATCCAAATGTGTGGGTTGAAAGGTGCAAATATCTCAGCTTTGCTGTAAACAGGTGCACCACAAATTACATCACTCAGACGAACAAAGAAGAAGTAGTAAACTCTCAAACAGCTGTCCATCCATCTCTTTATGTTGTCCTCTTGCTTGTATTGTTGTCTCCATCTTGCTCTCTTTCCTTCGACTTGTCCTTCCACTATGTTTTTTTTGAAAAATTAGGTCATCTAATATGGCCAAAATATTTCAGCTGCATGATTTTTTAAATGTCTTGCAAAAACTCTTCTCAATCCAGGTTCATCAGAACCTCTGTGTGGTTTCTTTGTTAATATTGCATCTGGGCAGAGGTTGGAACGTAAGTCATGTGACTTGGCTTAGTTAGCAAAGTGACTTGGTGTTTTGTCAAGCGACGTGACTTAACTGGTCCAATTCATTTTTCTCATCTGGCCACTCAGACCCTCATCCCTTTATCATTCTGCTGCAGTGTAAACTACTGATACTTTGTTACTAGGTGAAGAAAAGACGCTGGCTTTGGATAGGACACACATTGAGAAAAGCTGAGAGCACTATAACTAGAATGTATTTGCACTGGAACCCACAGAAGCATAGAAATAAAGGTAGACCTAAAAGTACACAAAGGGAGCTAAAGAGTGAAGTTGAAAGTATGGGAAGAGCTAGATGTGATAGACAAGGATAGAATGACTTGGCATAAGTTGTTTTAGGGACTTTGCTTCATCGGGGGTTAGAAGGTAGAAGAAGAAGGGTATTAAAAACACTAACACTACAATTGCTGATACCGCATTACAATCACTTTTATTTTGTTAATAATATTTAAAACTCTACAGTTGCTGCTGCATTTACAGGCAATTTTATTTTGTTACTGCTGTTGATAGTAAAGACATCCCCACTGCAACTGCTACATTTGTTATGTTATATCGAAATCTTTGCACATTGGGCCTCCCCATGCATGCTCTGTTCCCCGATGCAGCAGCCACTCCAAGATACTTCTAGTGATTGCTCCCATGAGGAGTAGGTTATAGTATCTCCTATCTTCTCCTCGAAGATGGCATAGACATGCTTCACCAAGCTAAACACCTCGGTCACACAATCATGTTAGCATCAGAGATTCGCCTTTATCCCCCAACCTAGTCTGTACAACATTGATGATATCAGCTCTGTCCATGCTTCTTCCCGTTTGCATTGGTGCCTTACTTGCCCGCTGGTCAGCTCTTTCATTACCATTTACTCCTGCGTCCCTGCTGAGATCTGATGCAGCAGTATCTACATTTGTTATGGTTAGTACTCTCTCTTCTTTCTTCTTTCTCTGCCATTTTAGCCCCCAGTGGAACATAGGCCCTCTGGCAAGTCATTCTATCCTTCCCTACCGCATGCAGCTCTCCCCATGTCCTCCCTATCTTTTTAACTTTACTTCCCAGCTTCCTTCTCCAGGTTTTTTTTTTTTACACACACTAAAGTACAGATCATCATCATCATCTTCTTCTTCTTCTTCTTCTTCACTTCCTCTTTTACCGCTGTGGGTGTCAAGGAAGATATAAGGTTCTGTTTCTAGCTCTTCTGGCTGCCTCGACCATAGGCACATCGTGCTGTTGTAGAGTTTCTCTGATGTTATCCTTCCATCTTGTTCTTGGTCTACCCCGTGCTCTACGTCCTTCTTCTCTTTCCATGTATGCTTTGTATGGTATGGTGTCACAAGGCATTCTCTCTTAAGTGGGCAAACCATTTCACTTGCTGTCTTTGTATGTAATCTAGAATTGGTTCTGTGCCGACTTGTTCTCTTATGATCTCATTTCTGATCTTATCTCTTATGGTCACTCCTACAGCCCTTCTCAGACATCTCATTTCCGTGGTTACTAATTTTCTTTTATGGTTTGTGTGAGTGACCATGTCTGGCACTGGTAGCACAGAGTTGGAATAAATGAGCTTTGAATAAGATGTCTCTTTGTGCTGATTGGGATTGTCTTATGCTGTAAGAGGGGGGCTAGCTGTCCCAATACTTGGTTTGCTTTACTGCATCTAATGTCAATTTCTTTATCCAATTTCCCATCTTCGGTAAATGTAGTTCCCAGATATTTAAACTCAGATGCCTGTTTAATGCCTTTGTATTCTATTGCTATGTTTAGATCTGTCTTCTTTTTTCCTATTGACATTACTTCTGTCTTTTCAGTGTTTCATCATCATCATCATCATGAAATGCCTTGTCGACTGGTGTGAGAAACTGCTTCTCCACAACTTCAGATCTTCATCAGCATGTATGAGTCCATGTGCTGATGACACCCCTTTATGCCATGACAAAAAGTTGCCAAGAAACTTCTTGCGTTGCTTTCTGAGACCACAATTCTTGTGTGAAGCCGAGGGTGTTGAATTCCATCCATGATATCAGGAGGATTGAACAGGGTAGAACTGTATGGAGGACCAGACTGTGCGCTCTATGTAACATATAAAAGCACAGTAGGATGATTACGGTGTCTTCCTCAGTCTCTTTTTCCACAAATTTTTACAATCCTCACAACATGTTCCAGTTTCCTCCTCCTTACAGCATGTTCCAGTTTCCTCCTGCTTACAACATGTTCCAGTTTCTTCCTCCTTACAACATGTTCCAGTTTCCTCCTCCTTACAACATGTTCCAGTTTCCTCTTCCTTACAACGTGTTCCAGTTTCCTCTTCCTTACAACGTGTTCCAGTTTCCTCCTCCTTACAGCATGTTCCAGTTTCCTGCTCCTTACATGTTCCAGTTTCCTCCTCCTTACAACATGTTCCAGTTTCCTCCTCCTTACAGCATGTTAAAGTTTCCTCCTCCTCACAGCATGTTCCAGTTTCCTCCTCCTCACAGCATGTTCCAGTTTCCTCCTCCTCACAGCATGTTCCAGTTTCCTCCTCCTCACAACATGTTCCAGTTTCCTCCTCCTCACAGCATGTTCCAGTTTCCTCCTCCTCACAGCATGTTCCAGTTTCCTCCTCCTTACAACATTAGTTTCACAGCATGTTCCAGTTTCCTCCTCCTTACAACATGTTCCAGTTTCCTCCTCCTTACAACATGTTCCAGTTTCCTCCTCCTCACAGCATGTTCCAGTTTTCCTCCTCCTTAGTTCCAGTTTCCTCCTCCTTACAACATGTTCCAGTTTCCTCCTCCTTACAACATGTTCCAGTTTCCTCCTCCTTACAACATGTTCCAGTTTCCTCCTCCTCACAGCATGTTCCAGTTTCCTCCTCCTTACAACATGTTCACAAACATGTTCCAGTTTCCTCCTCCTTACAACATGTTCCAGTTTCCTCTTCCTTACAACGTGTTCCAGTTTCCTCTTCCTTACAACCGTGTTCCAGTTTCCTCCTCCTTTACAGCATGTTCCAGTTTCCTCCTTACTTCCAGTTTCCTGCTCCTTACATGTTCCAGTTTCATGTTCCAGTTTCCTCCTCCTTACAGCATGTTAAAGTTTCCTCCTCCTTACAACATGTTCCAGTTTCCTCCTCCTCACAGCATCTTCCAGTTTCCTCCTCCTCACAGCATGTTCCAGTTTCCTCCTCCTTACAACATGTTCCAGTTTCCTCCTCCTCCTCACAGCATGTTCCAGTTTCCTCCTCCTCACAGCATGTTCCAGTTTCCTCCTCCTTACAACATGTTCCAGTTTCCTCCTCCTTACAACATGTTCCAGTTTCCTCCTCCTCACAGCATGTTCCAGTTTCCTCCTCCTTACAACATGTTCCAGTTTCCTCCTCCTTACAGCATGTTAAAGTTTCCTCCTCCTTACAACATGTTCCAGTTTCCTCCTCCTCACAGCATGTTCCAGTTTCCTCCTCCTCACAGCATGTTCCAGTTTCCTCCTCCTCACAGCATGTTCCAGTTTCCTCCTCCTCACAACATGTTCCAGTTTCCTCCTCCTTACAACATGTTCCAGTTTCCTCCTCCTTACAACATTTTCCAGTTTCCTCCTCCTCACAGCATGTTCCAGTTTCCTCCTCCTTACAACATGTTCCAGTTTCCTCCTTCTTACAAAATGTTCCAGTTTCCTCCTCCTTACAACATTTTCCAGTTTCCTCCTCCTCACAACATGGCCAGTATCATCATCGTGCTCTCTTCTACCTCTAACATTAAGCTTAGTGAATCTTCTAAAAGTGTTTGTTGCTGAGAAAGAAGCAAGGGAAAAAACTGCTTCATATAAGAAAGATTGTGCACAGATAGACACTTGACTAGATCAGTCATAACTTGGAGAACACAGCCATGATCTGTTACAGATGAAGATGCCTAATCATAGCACTTCTACCATACCTCCTTTTCCATACAATCCAGGAATCGCATATGGTAAGTCTGTTAATAGTAAATTAAAGGTTTTAAGGAGGCCCAAAAGAAACCCTAAGATGAACGTTGAAGAGAGAGGCCAAAGCTGCTGGACTGTATTTTATCCATAATATTAAATG